ATAACGAACAAATGATAGCGTGTTCTAATTCTCATTCCACTTCTTCACTTAAAAAATAGTATTTATTAGGCAAGAGGCATATCTTCACAGTTCTATTTGTCTAGATTTGTGGTTTGGGGATATGAAACCTCTTCAACTAGCTTAAACATAGGGAAGATTCATTCAATTAATTTCGAAACAGCAACGTAGCCATACTTCAACCTGCAGATCAGCTAATTACTTAGCCTCGATGTGTTCCCCCATCCCTAACGATAAATGCATGGGTCCCTACTCCCTCTCACTTCAATTAAAGACTTACGGATTACCAGTTACGTTCATTACTTCCGCAGAAGACTGATAATCACTTAAACATAACTAATCAAATCTTTTATACATTCTGGAGGGATTTGTGAATAAGCCCCCTCACTTATCTATTCTGTCTTTCAAAAGGACAAAGAATTTGATAAGTACTGTTCAAAGAACCCCTGAATTTTAAGAACTTGTTTCGTTTTACTAGTATTACCCTCTATCTATCAGCTCTTCTATTAAGCCATGCTTCACTAGTGTATTGTCAGAGTAAGAAATTGTTACTTTATAGCAGAGTGAAGAAATTTTACTTTTTTTGTTGTTCAGAGTGTATAAAATTTATATTTTCATGACAGAGTAATTAACTTTTAACTTTTAGTTCATCAGAGTGTTAAAATTTTACTTTTCATATGCAGACGAGTAAAATTTTACTTTCATACAGATGAAAATTCACTCTGGTTCTGTCAAATGAAAAAAATATCAGTAGCAAATGAAATTAGATCACAAAACAAAAAAATAAATTCAAAATAAAAACAAAAACAAACAAACAACAAAATAAATTAATCAACAAATCAATCATAATCTAATTGGAGAAGAAACATCTTTCTAAGAACTCCATCAACAATGGCACGAGATCTCAATGAAAAATATACATGTGTCAACATACACTTCATACACACAATATTATATATATATATATACATATTTCTACTTGTTCCTCAGTCCACATCCTTCCCAACCTCTTCTGTTCAACTTCTTTCAATCTCGAAGCTTCAGCCTTCGCATTCAACATCGCAAGCATCTCATCAACAACCTCATCATGTTTCTTCTCCGTTTCCAAACAACGAAGCCATTGATTGAGGATGAACTTTTGCTATTTTGATCTTCTTATTGTTTCTATGGAGGCATTTGCTACCAGATCTGGTCACTCCGACCAGATCTCCTTTGAAACCCTAGCCATGGAGTCATCATCTATGTATATGCAATAGTTGTATCAGACGAAGCTTGAGAGATTGAGATTGTGATTAGGGAAGATTTAATTGAGGGTATAATAGTCTGATAAAATATTTAAATAATAAATTTTGTCCTTTATATAAGACTTTATAATTATGAGGGGGTTTTAAAAGTATAATTTTTTTTCTTAGTCTTTTTAACAATAAAAGGAAGATAAGGGGGATTTATAGCCAAATTTCCCTATACACTCTCACGATGTCTTTATACATTTTTACTCTCACTACATCATTTGTGCCCATGCAAATTACTAATGTTATTTTCCAATTAACTTTGTAGAGAAAACTCAAAGGTGGATTTGTTCCCAGTTCCAGCTTTGGAAGGAGTGGCAGAGAGAGAAGAAAAAAAGAGAAACATAAAGCAATCCTTCCAACCGGTTAACCCACAGAGTTTCATTTGAAATCAGGGGGCCACTCTATTTGCTGGTTTACAATTTCGTGAAATATAAGATGTGGTTATGAAAAGAAGAAATATTATGTATTTTGCATGGGAGAATTTCTCAAAAAAAAAAAAAAAAACTGCATCTTTTCTTTATTATTTTCATCAATGATAATGCCACCCATAGCGCGTGGGGTCCAACTAGTATAGTTAAATGATCGATAATAGCCTAATGTGAAAAACATAAATAATTTTAATGAATTTAGAAAATACTTTTTGAGTAGTTTAGGCCACGTTTGGTAGTTTCAACTCTCACTTGTTGACAGACCAAACAAACAATTTAGACCCCTAAGCAAACTATCTCCACTTTCTTTACATCTCAAAGCATTTGTACTGGGTTGGCTTGTTTGGGTGGTATTAAATTTCATCCAAATTTTCATCAAATTTCTAACAACTGTTTTTTACTTTTAAACAATTTGTTAAAAGATGAAGGTTTGGAAATTAGTTTTTTTCACTTGAATTGATTAAAAGATAGGTTTTCGTGATAGGTTAGGTATTTTTAAAAATATTTGATCAAAATTTTGATTTTTGCCAAGCTATATCAAATTAAACTTTTGATCTAAAATATTGAACAAATTTGATGGAAAAAAAAAGGAAGTAAAAAGTTAGAGATGCTCTAAGTACCAACCTGTTGATGCGATATTCTTGGGTACAATCTTTTGAAGCACAAAGACATGAAACAAACTTAAGATTAAACAAACCAAACATACAATGGTGAACCCAAAGAAATTTAGATAAAAAATTAAATAAAAATAAATAATATCCATTTAAAAGGCTCTAAACTGATAAAAATGAGCAAATAAATGGAAATCATATCCCTCAAAGAAGAACGATGAAACTAGAAGCAACTTGGAACAAATCAATCCACAATATCTACCATCTAAAACACCATCCTGTGCTTGGAAATATAAAATCAAAGAAAACTAAACAATCAATTATTGCAATTCTTCACAGCCATATATGATCTAATAACACAAAAGCTTTTCAGCGCGATTAGAGAAATGAGAGCGTTCGTACCCATGCCGCTCTGCGATGAAATACAATTTCAAATTTCTTCAACCTATACAAGAGATAAATGAAAAAAATCAAAATTTAGTGATTTTCTAATTTCACAACTTAATTAAATTCAATTCTGACTATGATGTTATTCAAGAAAAAGAAAACGAACCTTGAAAACTATGATGTATTATTCAACAAGTGTGCAAACCCATTGAGGCTAGCCACAAAATTCTTCAAGCACGCTCCATCAAAAACTCGAGTCTTCAAATCTGCATTAACTTGGGACTATGTTGTCACACTTCCTCAAATTAGCTTTCTGCAAACGCTGTTGGATGTGAATCTCAACTTCAAAATAGTGCATTAATAATCCAAGGATTGTACTTCTTCAAAATTGATCTCAATCAGAGGAACATGAGCTATCTTCAGCCAATCCTCCCCAGTTTGTTTCTTGCACCGGCGCTCCAAATGTGGACATTCTCCATGTTAATATATTTTATGTTAGTGTATATTAATGTATGCTTACTTTATGCTTACTTTAGTGCTAGTGCTGTTAGCCTTTCGGCTGTATGTAATAATAGTGTTTCGGCCACTCTCAGTCCCTCTCCTATATAAAGAGCCCCTCACCATTTGTAATATACAACATTCAATACATCAATATATACATAATTATTCTCTCCCTTTCTTTATACAGTTATTCTAACTTGGTATCAGAGCTAGGTTAACAACCTAGTCATTCTGCTTCACCGGCGGGCGGCAGTCTCGCCTTAGCCGCCCGCTGGACCTCTACACATACCTTCACTCCGCTGCCACAAATTCCATAACTGAATTGAACTCTTGTCTCTCTGAGGGAATAATCAACACCTTCACACCAGTGAGGCCGTGGATATGGATCGCAGGTCCGTCTATGTTGTAGCTTCATCTGCATTGTCGTCGCTGACGTTGGAGGTCAATCTCCGGCCACACCTCATGTGGTGTCCGCTCACCACCGGCCACTCCACCTCCGGCTACTCTATCACCAGCTACTCCGGCCGGCAACATTGCCTTCGCTGCCCGCTGGAGTTTTCAATACAACACACACACAGAGGACACCACACAACACACAGCACAGACAGAGAGGAGCGGCTCTCCTTCTCGAGGGAGTTGCTCTCTCTCTCTCAACCAGATCTGTTTCTCTCTCTCTCTGGGTCTCTACCTCTAAGCTCCATCCCTCAATGGACAATCCATCGCTAGGTCCTCCCAACTTCTCTACCCAAACAGATGCTTTGCTTTGGAAGAATTTGGATTATCATAAATGAAGCAAGAAGACGAACTGTATGTCTGCCCCGCCATTGACATGGACAGAGACACCCGATACAACATCCCTGCTCCAACCGCTGCTACATCATCGTTTCGCTAGCTGGTTTGTAGTCCTCATCAACACCACGATATCTCTCTCTCTAATCTCTCTCTCGATGTGCATGGGGAGAGGGCCTTGATCCACACACAACCTTCCACACAGATAGACAACACAGACCAACCCATCTCTCTCTCTCTCTCTCTCGCTGCAAGAGAAGGCCACCGACTGACATTAAACTCACTCTCTCTTTTGTTGTTTTGGATGGAAGTAACACTACCTCCATTGCTTGAGTACTTTTTCCTAAAATGTGCATGGAAAGTAGTGAACTGGATAGTTGAGGCACAAGCAACCCAGGCCCGACAGACTTGGTGAGCTCAAGATCTCACTCTCGAGCGGCTACCTAACGCCCGACAGACTTGGTGAGCTCAAGACCTCACTCTCGAGCGGCTACCTGACCATTCAAAGAAAAAAGAAAAAAACTCAGGCGCCTGCGTTCAAGCTCTGTCCTTCACCGGCGGTGTGCATGATTTTCATGGCAGTCCAGTTCGGTAAACCCAACCACCTGCCCTATCTCTGTCTCTCTAGATCGAGTGCTTCTCTTAGTTGATTCGCACCCTCACCATGTTGGAGCGTATGATACACAGCTGGTGGAGCACTTCTTCCAGTCTATCAAACCCAGTGGGCTCACCCGTGGTGAAGGCACAATCATGGACCACTCGCAGGGGCAGCAACCCGAGGCTAAAATCGTCTATGGCCTCCACGAAGTCCTCGACATTCCGGCTACTCCCACCGGTGACCTACGCAACAACACACCACCACCTGATCTTCCTCATGGTATCTCTCTAACATCGGAGTCCTCATCCTCAACGAGTCCCTCCTCAGCACCTACGGCTACTGTTACCCGATCTTACTCGCCATACTCCACATTTCATCATTACATTTCAAACTTTACACACCACCACCCCTTGTTCCCCACTCTCTCAGTATATATATATATATAACCCATCATACACTGTGTGTGTTGCCTCTTTTTGGTGGGCCATTGCTTGCCATGTTGATCATAGCTATTTCTTTAATCAAACCCATGTTCCCCACCCATGCTATTATCATATATTATACTGACATATGTCAGCCAATCAATTTAGCAACCACCAAACACAACACGACAAAGCTTCCAATGCTATTATAAAATATTATCCCAAAACATCCACCACCCACTTTTGCCCCACCAGTGCATGCTTCTCGGACAGGGTGCCAGGCACCAATACATGCCACTCTGCACCATACCATCCACCCACTTTTGTCCAAATTCAGATTTTACAGAGGTGCTCAACCTTTTTTTTTTTTCTTACTTTTTTTCCATTCCACATTAAAATATATATATATATATATAAAACATTCCCGCCAACTGATTTTCTACTCAACTTGTACCATTCATGCCATTCGGTTTGCCAAACACCATTGTTTTATTCATATCGGGGCTCAACTCCGTTCACAGTTCTACAACACCACAAAAAAAACAAACAAACAAATACATAAACAACCACACCCACAGGCGGCCTTATCCCTTCTCTACTCTGCCGCCGGTCTCTTTTTCTTGCCTCCGTCCTGGACGGCCCTTGACGGTGTTGCCTCCGTGTTTCCCACGCCGCCGAGCCCGTTCACTCCCCCCTGCTCCTCCACAGCAGCATATGGCGGATCTCCAAATCGGAACATAACGGTGGCCTTCCGCTTCAGCTCCTTATTTTCCGCCTTTAGCACGCATATCTCTGCTCGCGCATCCTTATACATGCGCTGGAGCAAAGCCAGTTGGGCGTTTAACTGCTGCACCTCATTTGTCCTACTCTGAAGCCAGTGCGACAAGTTTGTGACCGCAGTCATGGTCTCTACGCATGACTTCAATGTATACTGATTGGCCTCAATATCTGATTGGGCTGCCATTCTTTGCTCTACAGACCGCATCGGAAAGGTCAACGGAGCAAACTCGGGGGCGCTTGGTTGAGGTTCAAGGGCAACCGCACCAGTTATCTCTCTTGTGGACTCGTTGAGGTCTGGAAAGAGAGTGAGCAGACCACGGGAAGAAGAGGCCATGTTGTGGGTTGCTGCGTGTTTCAGATGTTACAGAGTGTTTCAGGGTTTGCAGCTCTTAGAGAAAAGCTTTCAGAGAACGAAGAGGTTTCAACTGGTTTGTTATGCTTCCAAGCCTCCGTCTTCGCTTTGGTTTATAAAGACAATGACGAAGAGGACGACACGCGCTCTGTCGATCACGTGCATCGCCGCGTGTCTGGCGCGCCTTTTGATGGCTCGCCGCTCGATGATTTCTGTCGGGCACGGCTTTTGATGCAGTGGGCGCGCCTTTTGAGGGCGCGACTTTTAAGGGCTCGATATATATATCCATGTATATCTTTTGGGCAGCCTATATACACACTCATACAGTGTCTTCTACATCGGTCCGGCATGACCCCATAAACTGTCCCGACATTGATTCTGGTTAGCTTTTACAACGGTCCGGCATGACCCCATAAACTGTCTCGACAATGATTCCGGTCAGCTTTTACAACGGTCCGACATGACCCCGTAAACTGTCTCGACATTGATTCCGATTAGCTTCTACATCGGTCCGGCATGACCTCGTAAACTGTCCAGACCTTCTCTTCTCCAACGGTCTGATACGACCACACAGTGTCTTCAACAACGATCTGACACGACCATACAGTGTCTCCTATCTTATTTTATTTTTTAG